AAAGGGATCCTAATTTAGAGGACTACCTATGGAGGCTTCCTTGTCGAGTTTGGGGCTGACGACGTTGTGCCGATTCTCAAGTTTTGGGTACCCCGGTATGAGGGCATGCTTTCTGGGGCTTGCGGCTTACCATACTAGGAGGGTTTAGAAGGTTTTAGGGCTTAGGGCTTAGGGGTTTAGGGTGCGTTGTGAAGGTGTTTAGGGTTTCGGGTGCAGAGGTCGACGTCTACTGTAATCGCGGGTTTACGGCAGGCCATCCCCACAGTCCTCACTTATGGAACATGTCTTTGCATGCCCCCGAGCCCGGAAATACTCACCACTTTTTGCGATGGCCAAAACCCTAACAAGGCCCCAATGCCATTTGGGGTTGTATCGTTCAGGCTTCATCCATCAACAGCTTGGAGTTGGGAGTTTCCTGAACATCAATTATTCACTTCCATAAGGGTCCCGGCAGGAATGTTTGTCTGTGTGTATGTGCATATACACACACACACACATATATATATATATATACACATATATATATATATATATACATACATATACATATATACATATATCCGCACATACACATGCTTGTCCTATCTTGTCCTCCATCTGTGTGTGCACTGTTGCGAGTGTAGCCCCCATGCTTCTTGATGGTACCTCGGAGCATTTCGACTCCTGCAGCTGGTTTTATGACGACGAGTAACGAGGTTACTGCTCGCGACTCTTCGGCGTGTCAGAAATTACGGGGACCGTAGTAGGATCCTGATTATCAGCGCCCCTAAACTGCTGAAACCCACGACTCCTTGGTACTGTAACTACGGGACATGGACCCCAAGATCAGCTCCGGCAAGACTCCTCTGCGCAGATCAGGCCCAGCAAAACGCAGGGCCCCAAGAGGTAGATTTCGTACTGGAACGAATCCTTGGAAAAAAGCGTTGAGTGAGTGTCATATGATGGCTCCAGTGACCTGGTGACAATTTGGTCTTGGAGGGCCACCCAGTTGAACAAGACATAGTCACTACACTGGAAGAACACAAGCGTAATAACATACTCTCCTACAGTTTACCACACTATACCACACTACACTACACTACACCAGACTAGACTATACTCGAAAATACTATTATATACGACACTAGACTATACTACATTGTAGTATACTGAAGCATAATACAACATAATGCAATGATGGCCCGGCTTTTCCCGGCATCTTCAGCCGAGGTGTCCAGAGCTCACGGTGCCGACCAGGGCAAACACGAACGGTAGAAGATGCTTCCAGAGTTTAGGCTTTTGGGTCAGTTTGGGGTTTTCAGGCCTCAGGCTCTCGTGTCGCAATGTATCTTGTTGGCTGACTGGTTTTCGCTGCACTCCAAGAAGACAGTAAGCCGAAACATCGAAGCGAGACTCTGTGCTCCTTTCATAGGTCTGGCAAACTGGTGTCTTGTACCGCATCAGGTAGATCAGGTAACCTCGGAAGGAAGTTGGGAAGTTTGCATCCTCTGGAGCTGCAAATCCAAAATTTACGCGGTTCGGGCTAGTGCCCTCGTCGGGTAGATCGGACAAGGTGCACAACCCGCAACAAAGTGCCAGCACAGAACCACAGTCAAGTGATCTGGCATCGAACACATGCACGCAAACAGTGTGATTGTCCGTGAGCATTACTAACCGTTACGCGTAACCGTCACAACATGGATGTCGTGGGAGCTACCAATCTCAGTACTTTCATGCCACTCAGTATGTCTTCAGGCTTCACACTTGTGGCCGACCGTCACCCTCCATGCACCGCCGAGCGACAGGTCGTTGTGATGTACGTGATCTTCATGACGGTGTTGTATACCTCTTCTGTCAAGAAGCATTCCGTGCTGATTCTCTTGGCAAGGTATGGCTGCTCCGCGTACTGCACTCTGCTCAAGCTCACTGGACACCCCCTTTTGCACCTTTGTTAGCAATCTACTGCTGTTGCTGCCGTTGCCACTGCGGCTTCCATGACAGTTTCCACTGCAAAAGCGACGTCGACCTTGCGAAACCATTAAGTAAGTAACCCTGTTTTGCCCGAAACCCCTAAACTCTAAACCTAAACCCTGTTTTGAAGGGCCCAGTGGCAGAGATGAAGCTCCAGAGCAGGTCAAGATAGCGGAAGATGAAGACCAAGGCATACATCTCCTGACAAGGCGTTGTTGGGTTTGCTTGTGAAGGGTTGTGGGTTTAGGGGCCCCCAGAAGAATTTTAACCACGGAGCTATAGCAGTGGGTTCTAATGTTCCGGCGCAATGTTTCTCAAGCTGCCCTCTGCACCACCGTTTGCTGATGTCGGTGCTGGACGCACAGCCTTGTTAGGTTCAGGAGCCCAGGCCGTCACCAAGAAGTATGGTTCAGGAAAGGTATCAGCCATCGTAAGAGGTGCCCCAAAACATCTTGGATCATTGCGGGGAGTCACGCCGATCTCCGGCACCTGGCTACCACTAACCCCGAAGTCAGCTAAACCCATGGATGCGAACCCGGAGTCTCCACACACCAAGAGCGGAGGGGCGTAAGGCGACAGAACAATGATGCTGACAAAACAAGAATATCATTGATCACAATCATAAAGATTAGAGGGTCTTAGGTTTAGGGGCAACAGGAAGTGGAAATCGCCCTAGTTGCTTAATTGAGAAGGTAGATGGACACAGTAGTGCTAATTAGAATCTATTGTGAGGGCCTGGATAGCGGTTTCTGGTTTGGGGGAAGTCGATTATCGTAAGGCGGCTATATTTGGACTATGTGCAAGAAGCTACTACTACTACTACTACTACTACTACTACTACTGATGACAATTATTCCAACCCCTCACGCGTTGGAATTCTAATCTCGAGGCTATCGTTTTTCCTTAACATTGCCGTACTATAGTCTCTGCATGACCATGAAGCCTGACTCTTGCGGACCTCGCTATGACTGCACACCCAAAGTTTAGATAACCAAGCCCACAGCCTTCGAACCACGACACTGAGCTCTTCAGCCAGTCGCCGCACAAATTGGGCGCGCAAACCCGAACACAATCTAATTATCTAATTCATGCCCGAAACCAAAAGGTGTTTGACTTCTCAAGGTCTGACGACTCAAGCCTGAAGCAAAACTGCTGGCACTTACACTCTAAACCCTCGACGTCCCAAGGTATCTGCAACTATGACCAGATGGACATTCTCCGTTAAACTCAGGTTATTCACACGTTTCTTCACACTTTGCCTCTCTCCCTGCATCCTGTTATTTACAGAACATGGACCTGTTCCCCACATCCTTTTGTTTATACAGGATGCTCGCTGCGAGCCCGATTCAGAAGCTGCTTAGGCCGAGGCTGTAAATTCCAGCAAATGCGAATTTTCAGAAGCTTGAACCGATACGAAAATGTTGTCTCTCGCATCATCTTCGCATGTTCGCATGCGAATATGTTTCCAGCAGTTTATGTTCACCATATGTCTGAAACACGCGTCCTCATTTGGCGATTCCGGGTCATCATATATCTTGAACTGGCCCCCTCATGTGGCGAAGCTATTCTTCATATATCTTAAACATGCGCCCTCATTTGGCGACTTCGGGTCATCATATATCTTAAACACGCCGGCTCATGTGGCGATTCAGCCCGAACCTTTGAGGGGGAGGTTGGCTTAGAAAAGAGAGCGGGTTGGGTGGGACCCCCCATTGGCAAACACGTCTGTATCACGGCTTCTGAAAGAGTTCATATGGCCTGCTAGTAGCAGTGGTAGTAGCAGTAGCAGTAGTAGTAGTAGTAGTAGTAGTAGCAGTAGTAGTAGTAGTAGTAGTAGTAGTACGTGGTACGTAGGATGTAGGAGGTCGTAGTGATCGTGGAGCAGAATAAAGCAGAGAAGCAAAAGCACAATCAAGCAGACAACTACAAGCAAGCAAAAGCAGCAGTAGAACTGGAAAACAGCAGCACCGTATAGAAAACCACACAAACAAAAACAACATAAAACATAAACATGCCCCCAAACACAAATCCCCCAGCCATCAGATTGCACTCTGCGCACCTGCATTCGGCACGAGACGCCGACGCAGCTCTTGCTACGGTGGAGCTTGAAGACCAGAAGCCTGAGGAAAAAGAAGGTTTGGGATTTCGGCGGAGGGCCTTCAGGTACTTCAGGTCTTGGAAATTTCACTCTCGGGGGCGAAGCGTCTCTGCTATGATGCCGGAACGAAGCTTTTTTCGCCTCCTGCATTACTGGTCCATGCGTCGATGTCTTCTTAGGCAGGGAACCAAGGCAATTGCCGTGAATTCCTGCATGCGCATGTCGCAAACTCACAGCAGGCCGGAGGGGAGCAAAGGGGCATTCGTAGTCTTTGTGGGGTATACAATGCCATAAAACCTATAAAGCTTTATGGAGATAGTACTAACATCTATACATTGACATGATTGTTCAGACCCCTGTATTTCTCCCTTCCTTTGCCATCGCTGTCATCCTAAGCTCTTATTTTCGACGGGGTTTATCCATGCGGTCACCAGCTTGGTTGGAGCTTTTGTGCTTGAAACCCTTCTGACTTTATGACTTTAAGATGATGGTTCAACTTTTTACATGCTGGTGGACCGCTGGACATGCTGTGGTCAGCAGCTCATCGTTGCGAAATGAAAACGCCAGACGCTGCGCTGAGCATGTCTCATTATATAGAACATGAAAGGACAGTCCCTGGCAATATGTTGCAAGCTAGCTCGACGACCACGCTTGTGAATTCAGAACAATCCCGCAGCCACGCTTCATTAGCTTCCTGATCGGTACAAGATTTCGGAAGTAAGGCTAATACGTCTACCTGTAAGACGACTAGATGTAATGCAAAGGAAGCACGGAGGGACAGGTTCACCTCTTGCTTGGCAGCTGCGGGTGGGATCCTTATTGATTGACTTATTGCACAACTGAAGCCTTTGCAGCACACAGTGCTTGCAAACTTCAAAGTCCAGTGGCTACGAGGCTGCAAGGAGGGCATCTCCACAAAAGTGATACAGACTGTGGACCTTCACAGGTTTTGTGTAAGCCGCGGCAAAAAGTAAGAACCTATCCTTGCCCCACAGATGCCTATCTTGCCACTCGAGTGCTGAGACGGGAGAATGGGTTTGAGACCGTCAAGCACTGGACATGCTGCATGGGTTGTGTCTGCGAAATGCAAATTTGGCCGCCATCTGCCGTAAGTTTCGTTCACAAGCTGGAGACTGAGATGATACGAAAAAATTGAGAACTGAACCCCATTGCTTACTGAAAAGCCCAGACAGTTCAATGAGGCACAGGCACTTGACAGCCGTGTGAGAAGCTTCCGAAACCCAGCTCAGATCTGAACTCTTGATTGAAAAACCGCATCTGTCGTCATGCGGCAGCTCTGCAAAGGAGGCGATAAATACTCTTGAACGTCTTTGGGGAAACATCGAGGTTCCATTTCAACAACTCCAAGAAGCATGCTTCGAGCTGATTCAGATCCGTTGTGCTTACATTGCCGGCTTGTGCATAGATGCCATTGTCGTTGGTGTAGAGCTGCCTGTGCTTCGCTGCGACAGTCACCGCTGCTAGGAGGAGCCGATGAATGGTCTGCTTGCTCACATCGACCTTGCCGCGGTTCGTCTCGGAAATCCGGCACAAGTAAGCGAAAGCGAAGACGAAGGTCCTTGTGTCACAGCAGCAGTTCCTGCACAACTGCCAGACAAAGCTGTTAATGTCCGGAGGGTCACCGATGTAGTTGAAAACACTGGCTGAACGTCCACTGGGGCCGGGGGCTCCTAGAGCCGCCTCTGTCGCTGCTCTGCAAAGGCCTTCAATGACCTTCTCCTCGACTTGGGGCACATACATAGCCACCATTGCCACTGTTGGGGCCGATTTCGAGGATTCCGAACCCCACTCGTCGTCCGTGTCAGGCCATGCCTGGGCTGCAGGGTCACCTTCTTCCCCGATGTCCGTTTCCGGGGTTTCGGTGCTGCCGCTGGAGCAGTTGGACGGAATGCTCTCTGCATTCTCCGGCTCCTCCTGCTCAAGGTGATATGGAACATAGCCACTGAAGCTGTGGCAGCGGATGAGCTTGGGGCCCGTGCATGCATCTTTGCCCTTGTTGCCGTCCATGTAATGGATGAAGGTCGCACACAAAGGCTTCAAGCGCGGCTCCACGGGCGGCATGGGTCCGGAGGCCTGCGGGCAGGAGGTTTTGCTGGAGAGTAGCTGCCCTGACGAGACTTGAGCCGTAGAATGCCACAGGGCGTGGGCTTCGGGCCCTGGGATGTCGTCTTGGAGAGATGCTTATGTACTTTTCATGCAGGTCGCGAGCGGTCACACGCCCGCTATCACCCTGCAAACTATGTCGTGGAGGAGAACAAGAAGGGCAAGTGGAGCTGCCCGTCTGGGAAATGATATGAAACTGCTGATCTTTGAGGGAAATGATGCTACCAACTTAGCAACGGCTAAGCCTCCTGTTCAATCCCTCTAAGCCTTGCTACCTGGCATTCTGTTGCGTCGCTGGGGGTCCGGCATGATGCTGGTCAAATGCAGCATGTCGCCGCAAAACCGAAAGATGTTCATGGCCTCTGGGGAGGAGCTGCTGCAGATCTGTGGCCCATCGGAAACGGACATATTACTACACGTATTAACCGAAGCCCCAAGAGCCCACATTCTGCGCAAAAGCAATCTTGGCTACTAAACCTCAAGACGGATCTACAGCTCAGGCACTGTGCGGGTTTCTTGCTCTGCCGCACTCTGTCCGTAACTTGCAGCGGCACGCTTCACCTCAGTCGGTGGCAGCAGGGCTCTCGAAGTCTGCTGTTTTGGGAGTATATGTAATTTTACGTAATACAACATGGTATGATACAGTATGGTCGCCCCTTTGCTATATTGCATGATATGGTATTCGATTATATTCTGCTAGATTATATGCCAGCGAGTACAGAAGCAACCTTGCGACCATCGTGCACTCAGGACCCTACAAAAAGGGGTTGCGGGGCCTCCCTGAAAATATTCAATAGAGGGGTCTGCATGAGTAAATCCGTAGCCCAAAGAAACACAGCAAAGGGAGCTGCAGGTTTCGGGGGGGTGGATTTGTAGCCGCTGCTGTAGTCTGTAGTCTTATACCATGGAATGGGTAATAGTTGCCCTGCAACACGTCGAGCTTCCTGCAGCTATTCGGGTTTGGAGTCCACCACCTCTGAGACATGCTGAGGCCTTTGCGCGGCGCGGTGAAGGCAAGGGGACTTGGCCGAATCCCCTCTGCTTCGAGCCAAAAGACGCAGAGGGGGGCTTCAGAACTTCCGGGGTTGAGATTCGATCAGTCTTCGGGACTCGGGCACCAGTTTCTCGTTCCACACTCCGAGATAAGGAGCCAGGTCAGCAAGCCAATCGAGAAACTGAAGAAGAATGGCTGCCGGGCAGTACTGGGGTGCTGTCAGGAATTGAGTGGCGCTTGGGTTTAATACCCAGGGGTAGGAGTGTCTTCTAGTGAAACCTGCTACGCCCTGAAATCATCACCCCACGTTGCAAGTCTGCCTCCTTTGCGGCCCTGGGGGCGGCCTGGGTCTTCCGTGGTCAGTTTGAGGGCGGCAGGGGTTCATGCCAGGGCGTTCTCCCGGGCAGGAAGCCGACTTCGGGACCAAGGAATAAAATCGTGGCGTTAAGCCATGCGCGAACCGAAAAGTCTGCATGCACAGCGGACAAGTTGTAGGAACGAAATCCTGCCATGATGCGACATAATGCCCTCAATCACTTTGCACATCACACAGCCCGGGCAAAACATCGGATGATCCCGAAAAATCCTGAACTTTAGATATGCCTTAACTGCCCAACCAACCTCGCTGCATAGCGGTATAGAGTAAAAGATGAAAGCTCGTCTTCAGACTTCACACAAACCCTCAACGTTACACCCTGAACCTAAGCCCCCCAAAACAAGTCCCAACACATCCGCCCGAGTCCCAGGTGGGACTCCGGCACGCAAGGCCCCTCCACCATCTCTCACAGGCGCAAGGACCTGAGGCAAAGGGGCCTTCGTATGAATCATTCGGCTAGGGTTTGGGGGGTATACACTAACCTACAGATGCAAATCGAATACACTAATACTATTCCGACTCCTACGTCCGGAAGGTTTCTGGTTATCCCCTAACTCAGCGTGCAAATTAGGGGCGGCCAACGACACTGCAGAAAAGGGACCGGAGGGACTCAAAAGGCAGGGAATATGAGTTATAGGATTTTGAGGCGAAGCAAAAGCATAAGAAGGGCCTTGCCGTCGTGGTCTGCTAGGCTGATGCAGCTGCCGCGGCCTTGGATCACAAGCCCGTAAATTTCGACATTCAGGGCATATGCAGTGCAACTCCGCCATGCCTTAAGATACTGAGCCACCCTCCATCTCATTTCCTCCATGCCTCCGATCCCCCTCAAGGCCCTTCAAGCAGAATCTCGGCCAACTCTCAGGCAGTCGCAGGTGCTGTGGATAAACCATGCGTGGGAACCTGATCGCGGAATTCGGGGTCGCCCCAGACATGAGTGAATATGTGGTGCGGCTCACCTAGGTGGTGACCTGTCTTCACGTTCTGAAGGTGGAACAAAGCCGCGTCCTGTCAGTGCTTCGTGCATAGAGACGATGCTTCAGGCTGTGTGGGCTAGGACTTATGGTGACAGGCCCACCAGGCCCAGGGTTAGCGGGCATGCACCAAATTTGGCCACTGGCAGCTCTGTGGTGAGTCGGCCTGAGTTTCAGCAACGGACCAAAGAGCCGTTTCGTTGACATCGGCCTGCCCCAAGCCTGCCAAGAACACACAAACTATCGAACGGAGGAAGAAAAGGCCAGGAGGAGGAGGAGGAGGAAGGGCTAAGACAAATCAGACCACCGAGGATGCAAGGAAGCGCTTGAAGCTGCAGCTCCCCAACAGCTCGCTACCCGCCTTTCAGGACTGAAGCATTTCGATGTGCACAGGTTCAGAGCTTCGAGGTGCCCCCGTCACCACGATGGCTGTGGGAGTTAGAAGCAGGCACTGGTGGGCTCCTGCCTCCATCTCCGAGCAAGTACTGCCCACTTTGGCGATTCAGCAGGAAGTACCTCTACTCAAAGGTCGGGTTCCATTTAAGGCACCTAGCCTTTTTAGGAAAGTAAATGGTGCAGACCCCTGGAACACCTGCTTTCAAATTCCTGCATTCTACTTACTAACAATTGACCTGGCTAGCCCATGCCCCTCACCCTAAGGGTCCAAGTACCTAATAATCATATACTCTCTCGAATATTAACCTAGATAACTACCCTCCACAACGAAAGTACCGTATTATTGGGTCCTTTGGACCCTTAGGGTCACTACTAAGCTGCTCAACTTTCAGGGCCCGAGGAGAAAAGACTACATCCGCAGCCTGACAACCCGGAACTCCCAGCACAGAAAGGAGACCAGTTTCTGCAATCCAGCCCTGAAGCAAAGAAGAGGGAACTGGGAGACTTCAGGATATACCCGACACCTTCAATGGGGCACCGAGACATGGAGCCCAAACTGGAACCGAACTCCCCCTGCCCACATCCTCAACCCCCAGGATCCGGCCAGCCCCAAACCGCAAGCATCGAGAAACCCTGTTTGCGGGTGCCTGAACCGTTGGCAATTAAAAAACGGGGGCTCCCTGGTATACAAAGATACAAACAACGGTAGTCAGGAATCCTAGTAAGGGCTTGCGTGACTAGCCATACTAGCCATCCATGCCGCAAGGCCCAACTACAGCAGCTCCCATTCGAAGGCAACCCTTCAGCGACTCGCAGCTTTAATTAAGTGGCAACAGCAATTTGACACAAAATGACCGCGTAGGCAATACTTGCTGACAGCAAACAACTGCGTGCCTTTTTGGATACTCGCGAATCCGCGCCAGGGAGCAACTCTGGAAGAACCGCCAAGCCAACGAGACCGCGACTAAGGAAACTCAAACAAAGTCCACAAAGCCAAGATGAACTAGCATGGGGTATCTCAAACAGTGAGCCACAGTAGCCCGAACTGAAATAGCAACCGCCGGGAACCTTCCTCTGCCAAACTTCCGGAGGCCCTGCAATGCCATGCCACAGTCGCCGTGACACCAAGCATGGGTTTGTGGTTTCGGAGTTTGAAGGTTTTCGGCTTTAGGGCTTCAGGGTTCAGGAGTTTGTTAGGGCTTAGGGATTTGGGGTTTTTGACACTTGTCCTCAGGATGAGGATCCACAATAGTAGTGAACATGCAACAAAATAGCCCTAATAAGTGTATTCTTCTCGCCAACACAACCTCTTCATGATTGCTACTTTCGTTCAGGCCAGGGATGAGGCCGGTCAGGTTCAGGAATGTAGGTGGTATTAGGCGCTCAGGATATGTGCCATAAGGTTTGGAGGGTTTGGTGCAGGGTGGCGCGGTTTTGGCTTGGTTTGCTTACCTGGTAAAAAGTTGTGCAATATTTTCCACTTCCAGTTGGAACAGCCGACTTCGCAGAAGTCGAACCTGTTTGCGCCTTCGGCCCATGGACGAAGGGCGGTTATGCATACTGTTTCTTTGCTAAGCCCCTCGCACACTTCCAACTCCCCGCTGCATCAAACCCACCCTCGTACAGTCGCACAGTACATCAACTTCTGCTGCTGTCACTCAAAATATGCCAGCAAAATGTGAAATCGACTGTGCTTCGCGACCACATGTACACTTATCATGTTCTGAGTCTTCATGCGCGCGCCTGTCCGGCTGCTCGTGAAAGCAGCAGCAAAACGTAACGGCCTTTCTCAGGGGTTAAGGCTGGTGGGGAAGGTGACATGAGCAAGAGAGGGACGTTAGCGTTGGCACTGCGCAATTAAACATTGCACTGTCAGAGAAGTATATCAACGTCCGAACCGAGAAGGAAGTAGCTTCGATGCCCATGCTTCTGAGGCACCCTCAATGGCTTGGACACTGCCTGAAGGCCAAGAAGGCCTACTACTTTCCGATATTGTATTATGCTGTACTCTACTACACTACACAGTACACAGTGCACACTGCAGACTACATGCTTCATACGACATACTGCATACTCATTAACGCATAACACCATACTATATACTGTATGCTGCATACTATACGGTATATACCACACTCTACACTATACCCTATACCCTAGGCACTACGCACCATACTCTACTGACTACTTATACTGTAATTAATATATACTAACCTTGCTTCAGGGGATTTCCAAAGCGGCCGAGGCCAGAACCGGCGTTGCGATGGCAATGCGATCTCCTCCTCGGCAGGCATGATATCTCCAGAGCAGAATGGTATCGTCTTGCATCCCACCCAGCTAGGACGAGCCCGCATTGCAGGGTTGTCTGAGAGCACAACAGAAAACGGCATGTGCATCATTGGCTACGCCATCCGAAAGCGCAGAATGCTATTAGGGCTTAGGGTTGATGTTTGGGGTTTAGGGCTTTTCAGTTTCGGGGTGAGGATTTACGGTTGCTGACGCTCTCGGGGATGATTCAGCAACTTCACCCACAATTTATGTCGCCATGTCCTCCCGCACACCATTGGCAATGGGCATCGCGCCAAGATGAGGGAGCCGACACAAGTCAACACGGCAGCGGGATTGTAGTAAAAAGGCGACGTCATACAGGTGTCTACATGGAAGTCTGCGGCTTACCTGTGCGATGCTACAACATCTGTGTGGCCGGGTCTGGCGCGTTGTCGATACTCAGCCTGCTGTCATGCAAACCAGGGTTAGTGTGTGTGTGTGTGTGCGCGTGTTTGTGGGTGTGTCTGTATCTGTATCTCTGTCTGCTCGTGCATGTGCGTTTGTCTCTGTGTGTGTGTGTGTCTGTTTGTCTGTCTGTC